GCCTCAGTAGACCTGGCTTCCTGCACACTTATAGTTGGATCTGGGTCACCGTGGAGACAGAGGTGTCTGCCATCTCCCCGGCCTGTGGAGAGTGACGTCTTCCTGCTGGGCATGCCAGTTCTCACGTGGGCTTTCCCTTGTGTTTCAGAGCCCTTTCTTGACTATTTTCCCCTGATTCATTAAGCAGTCTGTTGGCACAGTTTTCCCACACCGGTCTGCCTGCCTCAAGAGCATATCTGACCCAAGCCAAGCCGTGCGACTCCGACGCAGCCCTGGCCGTGGGGCTCCCTTGGGTGGTGCTTGGGCTGCATGCCAGGTGGGCTGCAGTGGATTCACTGTTTCAGGGATGAGCCTGGCTCAGGGTTGGTGGGGCTCTGAAGCGCATATGGGGTTCTTTGTAGCTTCTAATTCGAGGTTTAAGTCCGGTGCGCCTGCAGCCATCCACCCTTCTCACCTTTTACGGTGTTGCAGGCTCAGGCCCTTGGGCTCCTCTAACAAGCAGGCTGGTCACCGAGGCGTGAGGATACGCACAGGGCATCCCTGGGGTCTTCGAGGGCGACTCCTCCGGTGCCAGGGTTTGCTCTGTGCCATCTGGGTGGAGCTGGTGGCCTCCCCGCACTCCGCAGCATGGTCAGGCTGGCCAGGGCATGGGCACGTGGCATCCTGCGGCCACCTCCACCCTCCTGCCCAGCCGCGGTGTCACACTCATCTTTTTAAGTTCAGGTTGGTTCCTGGCAAAAATGTCCCTCCTGGGGGCCTCCAAGCATAGGATTTGGAAGACAGAGGAACAGCACGGGCAGCCGGGAGAGCAGCTGCGCTCAGACGAGGCCTTCTCCATTACTTGAAGCTTCTTTTTGTTCAGCCATTAAAGAAACTTGACAAAATAGGAACAGGAGATAGTTCTCTATTGTAAACCTTTGCACAGGGACAGTTGGCTTCTAAAGGCTTTCAGATTTCATTTATTTGAGAAAGAAGTTTGCTTTAGATCCTTAATATTTATGAATTCTCTCACCATGTGTAAGTAGCCTGGTGTTCGTGTGTCTAAGTGTGCTTGAGAACAAGCCTTGTAGTTGCCGGGTGTGCGCAGACGCCTCCCTGTGAGCTGCGTCCCGGCCGCCAGCTGCCCCAGCTCTTCCTCGTCCTCACTGCCTTGGCAGAGCACTGTTGACGTGAACAGCCACTGCCATGGGCAACCCGTTCCACTGTCCCCTCTGCCCCGGGCTCCGCATGGTCTTGGGAAGCTTGCCCTCTGGGTGCTGCGGGAGCTTGGCAGTAGGGAAGGCTCTGGTGGGTACCTTTGGCGGCTTCCTTGGTGTCAGCCGTGCTCGATGCAGGCTTCCTTCCTCATCATCCTCCCTCGTCATTCTGTGTGTGTTTTCTGCATGTCCTGACCTTTCTTCATTGCAGCTAAAAGTGGTGTCTGGGTGCAAATGTAAGCAATGGTGGATCTGGAAATAAGAGCTTTGTGTAATAAGGTTCCTAAAGCATCGCTTCTTACACCTGCCTGACCCTTGGTCTTGGCCTTTTTCAGGAGCTGGGATATCTGTGCCTGGTGAAAATGAAACTGGAATTCCTGACCTGGGAATTCAGTATTTCCTCTCACTCCAACTAAACACTTCTTTTCTTTTTTTTTTTTTTTTTTTTTTTTTGAGATGGAGTCTCGCTCTGTCCCCCAGGCCGGAATACAGTGGTACAATCTACAATCTTGCTTACGGGAAACTCCGCCTCTAGGGTTCAAGTGATTCTCCTGCCTCAGCCTGCTGAGTAGCTGATGTTACAGGCACGTGCCACCATGTCCAGCCAATTTTTGTTTTTTTATTAGAGGCGGGGTTACCATGTTGATCAGGCTGGTCTCAAATTCCCGACGTCTGGTTGATCCATCTGCCTCAGTCTCCCAAAGTGCTGGGATTACAGGCATGAGCCACCGTGCCTGGCCTAAACACTCACTTCTAACGTAGATTCAGGAATTGGCCGTGTGGCTTCCAGACTCCTTTTGGAATGTCACAATCTAGACTTGATATTTTAATGAAGGCCACCCAGCAGTAGCTGGCAGTGGGTCCCAGTGCTGGCAGGAGCGTGGCGGGAGGAGGCTCTGTCTTCTTGCATCCTTCAGGGGTCCCAGGGCTGACTCCACCTGAGAGCCCATCCTGGGCTGTGTGAAACACCTTTTGTAGAAATTGTGTTTTTATTAAAACATCAAATCCGTGTTCCTGTAACAGTGCGGAGTGATAATATTTCTGAACCGTTGGGCACACAGGAGTGAGTGGAAGTGGGCTGGGCTGTAGGGGCAGGTGTGGCCACGGGGCCAGTTCCGGAAGGAGCCTCGCTGTCCTTGGGGGTTCGAGTGCTGGGCCCCCCGTCCGTGGGCACAGCCTTTGGCTTCTAACTTCCTGCTCTTCAGGGAGGGCCTGCAGGCTTAGAGGCCTACGTTCCCGGGAACAGAGTGCCCCCGGCCCGTGGCCCTGTCAACCGGTCAGGCTCTCCCTGCTCTGGGGACCTCAGTGACTTCTTGGGAGTCCTGGGGTTAGGGGTTGGAACCATAACTGAGGTGTCACCCGGGAGGACCAGCTCTCCTGAAAGACTCAGGCAGCTGAGGGGAAAGAGGGGGCCGAGTACTGCCCGAGGGAGTCCTGGGCAAGGCGGGACTTCAGGCAGCAGCCCGGCCCACAGGCAGGGCCCTGAGGGACATGTGGTAGCATGGAGCCACGGAGGGCAGGCTGCAGCCCGCACCTGAGGGTGCTCCCTACCTCAGTGTGGCCCGGCCTCGGGAGTGGGTGGAGGGTGCCTGTGGCAGGATGGTGGTGTGGTGTCCAGCGCCCGACCCTTTTCCCACAGGTGCTTTGCCCGCACTGGGACCAGGCCCTGTGGGTGCCTCGGGCTTCTCTGTAGCACTGGCTGCTGGTTCGTTCACACCAGGGGCCTAGCTCGACCCCTAGGCCCTTATTAATCAGAGGAAATGATGGCCCCACAGCTGGGGTGGGGAGGTGCCCACTCGTAGGGACAGCAGCCCAAAGAGCTATGAATAAACCAGGTGCTGTCGGTGACCCCAGGAGCCTCCAGCCATGGGAAGCCAGACCCCCACAAAACAGGTGCCCCTCAGCACCAACCAGCAGAAGGCACAGGCGGGGACCCTGCCAGCCTAGAGGAGGCCCAGCCACTAGAGGGGACCCTGTGGTGGAGGCTCAGCTGTGCTGACAGCCGGGGTCTCTCAGGGCTCACCTCATGGGGCAGGGGCAGCAGCTGGGAAGCTCCTGGTGGGCCAGCTTCGAGGACCAGCCTGGCCAGTGCTCTGCTGCCTGGGGTCTCTAAGGAAGTGCTCTCAGAAGGAGGGTCTGGTCCCCCAGCACCTTCCTGGGCCTCTGTGCTCCCAGTGGCCCAGGTCTTTGGTCCCCAGCACCTACTCAGGGTCCCACTGCGCCCACCAGAGCTCCTCCAGGGCACTGGCTGGAGAGGGGCCTGAAGTTGTAGCAGGAACAGCTCCCCAGCCAGCGCTAGGGGGCGCCCCTAGCCTGTGCTCCGAGTCCCCTGCTCTGCCGGCCTGTTGGCCACGTTTGCCCGAAACCCTGCGGGCCTCCACCTGTGCCCTTCAGGCCAAAATGCGCCTCCCCATCCCGCCACTGCCTCCAGGTGTCCCACGGCCAGGCCAGCCTCTGGGACCCAGCCCGGGGTTTCTGGGCAGGTGGGGACATTAGGGATGCAGAACCCTGTGAGGTCACTGCCGCCTCCGCCAGGCCTGCACTGACCCCACCCATGCTTCTCTCAACGGGGTTGGGTTAAACCCTCGCCTGCCAGCAAACAGACCAGGAACTCCCCGTGACCTGAAATGTGAGTTTGGAGCTAGAGTATCTTAGAAGCCAGAATGAAAGTTCATGCAGCCCACGGCAGGGAAACCCAGCAGAGGGGAGGAGAGATGAAGAGAATGGCAGAGGGGAGGAGGACGGCAGAGGGAGGAGGACGGCAGAGGGAGGAGGACGGCAGAGGGAG